GGGAAGGGAAAAAAATAGTTACAAACAAGGAGGTAGAGAGGCAAACCATAAGAGACTCTTAAATACAGAGAACAAACTGAGGGTTGATTGGGGTGGGGGAGAGCGGAAATGGGTGATGGGCATTGAGGAGGGCACTTGTTGGGATGAGCACTGGGGTTGTATGTAAGCGATGAATCATGGGAATCTATCCCCCAAACCATGAGCACACTGTATACACTGTATGTTAGCCAACTTGACAATAAATTATATTAAATAAATAATAAATAAATAATAAGTAAATAAATAAATAAAACCTAGGTCTCTTCCAAAAGTAAGCTGTTTTTTTTAATGAGAACTCAACTCATAAAATCAAGAAGCACATCAGATGTAAACAAATAGCACAATTAAAATTAATTTATTTATTCATACAAACCCAAGTCAGATTTAAAGTCACTTACAAGATTACCTAAAATATATGTTACATTGAATGTAAGTAAGGAATTTATTTTAAGTTTTATTAATTCAACAAATATTGGCTGAGCATTTCCTTTAGGGGTTATACTTCCAAATATAATGTAAAAGAAGAGAAATTATTCAAGTGGATGTAATATACTCACTAAAACAAATAAGTCATCAGTTAGAAGGTATTATTGGTAGTGTTATGGGTTAGGTCTATAATACTTATTTAAAAGAGGGTATGGTGGGAAACTAGAATTTAAAGGTTTCATTGTAAGTAGATATCTCAAAAAATTAAACATAAAAATGTTCCAAAGTCTAAAGCAGTGGTTCTCAACCAGGTATGACTTGGTAATATCTGGAAACATTTTGGGTTGTCACAACTGGGGAGGTGCTAGTGGTCTACAGTGGGTAGAGAACAGGGATATTGTGAAACATCTGACATTGCACAGAACAAACCTCCATAACAAAGAAATAGTTGACCAAAAATGTCAATAGTGCCAAGGCTGAGAAACCCAGGTCTGAAGTGATTTAAGTGATTTAATGTGATTTAATAAGCACTAATTTCTTCTCTGAAAGACATGATGACATACAGGTGTATTTTCATAAATATGAGAAATGATATAGAAAGAACAAAGATTATACACTTTACATGAAACTGTGACATCACTACATGTTTATAATTATAAAAATATTAATGGCAGGATGCCTGGGTGGCTCAGTTGGTTGGGCATCTGACTCTTGATTTTAGCTCAGGTCATGATCTCATGGTTCGTGAGATTGAGCCCTACATCACTGGGGCTCTGCGCTGATGGTGCGGAGCCTGCTTGGGGTTCTCTCTCTCTCTCTCTCTCTCTCTCTCTCTCTCTCTCTGCCCTTGCCCCACTAGCACAGGTGCGCTCTCTCTCTCAAAAATAAATAAACATTAAAAACATATTAATGGCAAATTCTTGTGAATAGCATTATACTGACCTTTCTTACACAAGCAGTGATTTTTACCTTCTTGTGATTTTTACAGTGGAGATATTTCCTTCATTTTTTTCAACTAATATTTAGTGAACATCTATTTTCTAGATGTTCTATGTAAGGTGCTTATAATAAAAGTTCATATAACAGTTTTACTGGGGAAAGAGGCATGTAAACAAAAAATTACAATCCATATGACAAGGGTTATTATAGAGTAATAAATAAGCTACAGTGTGGTAAAACAGAAGAGGGAGTGAGAACTTATGTGATTGTGGGGGTGGGGGTTGGGCATCTTGGGTAAGAGAAGAATATCAAAGACAACTCCCCAGAGGAACAAATGCCTGATCTAAATATTTATATCAGAAGACAGGAGGGACTTCTATGAATGTCATGTTAAGTAAAGAACTTCTTGGGGCACCTGGGTAGCTCAGTCAGTTAAGCGTCAGACTCTCCATTTTGGTTCAGGTCATGATCTCGCAGTTCGTGAGATTGAGCCCACAGTGTGGCTCTGTGCTGATGGCACGGAGGCTGCCTGGGATTCTCTCTCTCTCCCTCTCTCTCTGCCCCTGCCCTGCTTGCAAGGGTTTTCTCTCTCTCTCTCTCTCTCCCTCCCTCCCTCCCTCCCTCCCTCAAAAATAAACTCAAAAACAAAAACAAAAAGAACTTCTATCAATTACAGGCTTACCAGTCATCTTAATGAAGGCTTTAGGCAAAGTAACATCATAAGAAGGTTATGATTTTATAAAAATCACTCTGAGCACAGTTGGAGGGTGGCCAGGAAGGAGAAAGAGATACTAATTAGGACTCAGATTCAAGGTGATAAGAATCTGGAACAAGGCAGTCATCCAACGGGGGCAAGGGAAGGAGGAGATAGATGGATGAAGAGATGTTAAGAAGAATCAGTAGAACCAAAGTCAGGAGTGGTAGTCAAAAGTAGAACCACAGTCAGAGCATGATAATGTAAGAAAATTGCCTTTAGTGCTAAAAAATTGAGACTAGCCCCTGCTGGGGGATGCTTTGAGATTAGGCCAAATGAACATGTAAATATTTATTATATAAAAACTGTCATCATTTAGTATATACATAACAATAAAAATTTAAACTAATAATTTAACTTTTCTTAATTTTATCTTAATAAAACTGATTACAGAATACTTTAAAATACTGGTGCCAAACTTCAGGGTCCCATCCGACATGTTATGGAGCTTAGAAGTCACCACTACTGTCCTCACAATTAACTAACCTGAAAATCCACAACTCTTCTTGGATCCTTCAAAGAACTGTGGTAACAGGGCAAGCTGCTGCCCCTAGAGCTGGAGAAACAGACAGATACAGAGAATCACAGCTCACCAGGAGCAGAAGCCAGCAGCTGGAGCTAACTTCAGTAGAAATACTTTAAGTTGTAGACCAGCTTGAGAGTTAAAAGCTACAAGGGGGTCCTGTCTTTGGAGGTTGGGGGTGCCCACATTCTTGGGTTTTACTTCCAGGGTCTCTACCAGGTTCTTACTGCAAAGATCAGAGAAAAATCCCCTCCTGCTTCTGGTAGGGGGAATGGTAAAGTGACCATTTTGGAATATACCCGGAGTTCTTTCGCTTCTTCCTAACAAGGCCTGCCCTCTAGGGAAACTACTTCACTAATGGACTGGGGTTTTACTAAAGCCTAAACTACCTGGGAGAAGGGACATACTCAACTCAGTCTCACTAAAAGGCTGCCATCTAGCTATCAGAATGTAAAACACTTCCCCTCCTCTCCCACTTTACCACATCAATAGGGTTCTGGTGTAATAACTGTGATTGCAGCTAAAAGAACTGCAAGCTTCAGATCCTATTAAGGAGTCTCTAGGAAAACCTAGAGAACAATTAACAAGGACACACAGGACATTTTAGCCTCTAACACCATAGCCACAGCAAACAGTAAATATAGCCTAATTCCTAGCCAGATAAACATAAAACCTCACACTAAACACCCATATAATCTCAGTTCCTTTTACCATATCTTGCTTTCAAAAAAAATAATACAAAGCATGCTAAAAGGCAAGAAAAAAAAAACTAAGACTAAAGCAAGCATGAGAGCCAGATTCAGATATGGCAGAGATTTTGGAATGATCAGACCAGAAATTTAGAATGATCAATATGCTAAGAGATCAAATAAAAAAGTGGATAACACACAGACTAGATGGGTCACATAAGCAGAGAGATGGAAGTTCTAAGAAAAACTCACAAGGAAATGCTAGAAACTGAAAACACTGTAACAGAAACGAAGAATGCCTTTGATGGGTTTACCAACAGACTAAACACAGCTAAGGAAAGAATCAGTGAGCTTGAAGAAAGATCAATAGAAAATTCCAAAACTGAAAGGCAAAGAGAAAACAGCAACAACAATGTAAAAGAACAGAAGAACTATGGGACAGTTATAAATGATAGAACATGTGTGCAATGGAATTACCAGAAGGAGAACAAAGATGAAGGAATAGAAGAAATATTTAAAGGAATAATGCCAGATTTTCAAAATTAATGACAGACACCAAACCACTGATCTAGGAAGCTTAGAGAACACAATCAGGGCATATACCATAACATGTACACCTACACATACCATATATGAAATGCAGAAAATCACAGAGAGAGTCTTGAAACAAGCCAAGGGAACAAGATAGAATTCTATTTGACCTCTCTTCAGAAAACATGCAAGCAAAAAGAGGGTGGAGTGAAATATTTGAAGGGTTGAAGAATAAAAACCACTAACCTAGAATTCTGCATACAGTGAAATTACCCTTCAAAAATGAAGGAAAACTAGAGACTTTCTAAGGCACACGAATAATGAGAAAATTTGTCTCCAGTAGACCTGCCTTGCAAGAAATGATAAAAGAAGTTCTTCTGAGAGAAGGAAAATGATAATAGGTCAGAAATTTGGATCTACATAAAGAAGGGAAAAGCATTAGAGAAGGAATAAGTGAAAACAAAATAATATTTTATTTTTCTTATTCTTAATTGACTTAACAGAAAACGGTTTAAAATAATAATAGCAAGAATGCATTCAGTTTTATAGCATATGGGTAAATGAAATGAACTGGCAGCAAAGTGATAAAGGACAGGAGAGAGGAAGTAGACATGCTTTGTTATAAAGCACCTGCACTACCCATGAAGTGGGACAGAGTTACTTGAAAGCAGGCTTTTATTAGTTGTAAATGTGTATTGCAAATTCTACAGCAACCTATAATAAAATTTATAAAGTAAGTATAATTGACATGCTAAGAGAGGAGCGAAAATGGAATCATGTAAAATGCTCAATTAAAACCAAGAGAAGGGGCGCCTAGGTGGCTCAGTCGGTTAAGCATCTGACTTCACCTCAGGTCATGATCTTGCGGTTCATAAGTTCCAGCCCCGCATCAGGCTCTGTGCTGACAGCTCAGAGCCTGGATCCTGCTTCAGATTTTGTGTCTCCCTCTCTCTCTGCCTCTCCCCTGCTTGTGCTCTGTCTTTCAAAAATAAATAAAATATTAAAAAAAAAAACAAGAGAAGGCAGAAAAAAGAGAGAAACACTGAAAAGAGAAGAGAAGAAAAGAAAAAAAGAAAAGAAAAGAAAAGAAAACAAGTGCAATGCATAGAAAACAGTTAGTTACAAATTTCACAGCCACTATGGGGTGTGGAGCAGGGTACAAATAGATAAAACCACAGGGTTCCAATGCTGTAACACGTACTCAAACCACTGCTTTAGAAGAATAGTTTTTCTGATGCCTCCTGATGCTTTCCTCCTTTACAATGTGTAACTCTTCAAGAATCAGGAATAGCAATTCCTACCTTGAAAATACTATCTGGGACTGTGTGAAAGTAGAAGTTCAATGCTTCTAATCCGGTAATCCAAGTCATAGTCTTTGGAGCTTCTGAGTCCTGAGGCCTACATCTGGTGAAGTTTCATTCTCCCTGGTCATTTCTGACACCTTCTCCTTTCTCTCTGGGGAAGAGGACAGGAGGGTGTATGTCTGGGCTCTCGCTGATGTAAGTGTAACTTGAGTTAATAAGAGGGATTTTACCTTTTAAAGCTCTTCTCTTTTACCCTAACAGTTCATCTCAAAGAGTGACCTGTGGAACATCTATATCAGTATCACCGAGGATGTCTGTTAAAGAGGGAGATTCATGGGTTCTGCCCAAGAGCTACTGAATCAGACTCTCAGAGAGTGAGCCTAGGAATCTGCACTGCTGGCAAATGTCACAAGTGAGCCTTATGCACACTGAAGTCTACATCTGAGAACCACTGCTTTAATATATGGCTCCTTTAGAGAGTTGGGGATAGGAATAAGGTTTGGAAGTCACTTCACTTTATGTTTTGGGCCAATTTATTACTAGGAATATTTGCCCCTAACCACTTGCTGAACATGTCTGCTGACCAAATAGAGTAAATGCTCAAAGAATATTTATTGAAAGATTACTTGAGAAGCATAACATGATACTTTCTTAAGTTCTGTGATGAGCAAAACATTTTAATTCTTCTAACCTAGATAGATAGATGCCCTAATGCAGGCCATCAAAAAAATAATAACTTGAGCTTCCATATCAGTTAAATTTGGTCTAGAGAATTCCTGCAAAAGAAAAATAAATGGTTGAAAACATAAGTAGCTATGGAAAATGTAAATCTAAAATAAACTAAGAATTGTAATAAGGATTTAAAAAAATGAGCAGATACGTCAACAAACCATACATGTTGAGGCACTTATAAGGATGGCCTAAGAGGTTGGGGAATTGGCAGAAGGGTACAGCAGCTAGGGTAAAACAAAAGAGAAAAAAGATAAGCAGGCAGAGAACATAAAGGCCTGCTCATCAAACCCTTCCAAGAACCAGAAAACCAAAATCCACAAAAAGGATTTTCGGAAACAAAAAATCAAGCAGTAAGACAGAAGATAAGAGAAACGGGACTTTTACTGGGTTCTTCAAGTACTGAGTCCATGGGGCACACATACACTACATTATACTTCTATACCATTTTGTAAAGGCATTGGTAACCTCTAACGTTAGTATCCAGTCAAAATTATATAATCCCATCAGCATCTGCAAGAAAGAAGGACCTGGCTTGATTTTCAGTTCTTTATTTTTAGTTCTTTCTTACATTCCCAACGTGGGGAAATGGAGCTTGGAAAAACTCAGCTTGGGAAAACTTGGGAGACTGAGCTAGAGACTATTCTTCCATTGTTCTTTGTGCAAGAAGAGATAAGGAGTGAATAGAAGCAATAAATGATCATTCCCTAGAAGCTTTCCTTTTCAGGAGACTGCCACTTAGAGGGCAGGCGAGGTGATCGCTCCTACTGTCAATTTGTTAGCAGGGTGTGTGTGTGTGTGTGTGTGTGTGTGTGTGTGTGTGTGGCGTGTGCATGCTTTGCATGTGTGCAACTGCATATGTGCATGAGTGTGTATGTTACAGGGACATGAATGGTACTGCACAACGTTCAGTCTGACTTACCTTGCATCTAGCAGCAGCAGATTATACACCCACATGAGTACTGTCACTCTGAAAATGGGATAGAGAGTTAGGTTCTCAGCAGAGGAGAAAAAAACACAGAAAGAGAGAGAACACAACTGCGTGCACACACATGCACACACATACACTGAAATTCTCCAAACTTGTGGGTCAGAGCAGCTGGGAGGGAGTCAGTCTTCCTCCCTTCCTGCTCTCTCTTTGCTGAACAGCCAAATGAGAGACTGAACTCTAACAAGGAAGAAAGAACTGCCAATAGTCACTGAAAACTCACTCTGGATGTTGTAGGAAGATACAGTCTTTTTCAAAGACACAGCTGAAGCAGCAGACTTAAAATTTGTAAAAGATGGTGTAGCTGCACAAAAATAAGAGAAATAAGGAAAGCTGTGAAGTGATCATCAGCAAAGTCCTCTAGAGTTAATCTGTGATAGAAGGTTAACAAAGAAGTTCTGTAAGCAGAAAGGAAAAATTACCTGTAAATAACTTTTTTTCCAGTTCTTCTTGAATTTTAAGAAGAATCCTCTCCTGTTCTAAGGCTTCTATGTACTTGGAGTAGCACCAGGTTGGCTAGAAAGACGGCTTTCAAAGTTAATTTTGGGAATGTTTGTCCCAGGAAATAAACTGAAGGTAAGATGGCCTATATAAGCCTCTTCATTTAAACCTTTTGTTGAAGTATAACAAACTTCAATAACAGATCATTGAATAGGACAATTCAATGATGTGTCTAGAACTATATGAGTTATAACTATTTCTCAGTGAATCAATGTTGCAAAGGCTTTATGGAGTTCTTTACAGCTATTCACGCACCTATATATATATATTTAATTTGATTATGAATTTAGGTGCTCAAGAGAGATCCAAGTTTTTTTGAGGGGGGTAGTTTTGCATTTGTATTAATTACAATTCTTAAATGTGCAAAATCTATCAGAAACAAATGCACATACAGAGAATCCACACTTGCAAAATGGCACAGTATTATCACTGTACCAATTGCTAGAGTAATTCAACATGTATCTCTTCAGTAGCAACAACAATAATAATTTACATTTAGGAAATGCCTTTGGTTTCCAAAAGCTTTTTAGTTTCTTACGAAACTCTTGAGATATATGACAGGAGATTGTCATCATAACCATTCCTTTTTCTCACACTTTCTCCTTTTAACAGACAAGGAAACAGGCTCAAAGCAAATTCTGGGATTTTTTTTCAGGCTCCCAGGTAACACTGACTTGTAAATGACATTGAAAATTAGAAGCTTGTTATCTCTAGTTCCACATTTCACCCTTTTTTATACCACGTTTCTGAAATTTAATGCTAGTCATTTGCTAATAAATGTTTTTCCCAATGGCATTATTACATATCATACACTTTAGAGGTTACCTTTTTCAATATATGGTGTCACAAAATTGACATCCCCCTTGTCTCAATAATAGCTTTATAGTCTATCAGTTATCTTTATTGAGCGGCTGAATTTATTTGACATTCTTAAATGCCAAAAAGATTGTTTCTTGAGCTAGAATCCTCTTAAGATGCAAACACAAGTCATTAAAAATGGACATGACTTATGAAATTTCAGGGACGTGATATTAATTTACAAGTTAAATGTAAATATAAACATAAAAATTGTAAATGTATTCATTGATGGTCATGTACCGGCCAATTTTATGAGCACTTCAAAGAATTAAGAAATTTGAGATTAAGGCTTTGACATTTTTCTTTCTTTTTTTTAAACCCAAGAATATGTCAACCAAGTGTATTCTGTCTTGTTCCCTATCTGCCTTATTCTCTTTTTCAATAAGCTAGTCATTTCAACTGCTGCCACTTAAATCTTCTTCATGTGTATAAAAAAGTATTTTCTTTTATTATATTGTCCAGGATCAGCTGAAATTTTAATAGTCTCTGAAGGCTCAAGGGAATTCCCTTCCAATCTCTCCTAGAATAATTTTACCCTCATTTTCAAACAAGCACAACTCTACTACTGGACAATAACTGAGTTACTGCATTCTACTATCCAATGTTTTAAAGAAGTGGTATCTGTAACACCCGTACAGCTTACCTGTCGACCATATGCTTGCAGGCTGAAAACTGGGTCACTGGGTAAAGCAGCTGTTTTGATAGCAGATCCTGAAGAACTTGCATATTGTTTGCTTCCATCCTGTAATTATATTAAGTTATTAAAAAAAAGGGGGGGTAAAACTCTACTAGTATAAACTTACAGCTAAGGAGTCATAACATTAGATGAAAAAATATCTTGTAATGAGTACCACACTCGAGGTCGCATCAAGTCAGTGTTACTAATTTGACATCATTTATGAACTCTTTACATTTATTTCCTACTAATATAAAAATATTTAAAAATGAGTGATAAATTATGAAGTGGAATGTAAAAATTGCCACCCAATTCTGGCATCTAGGAAAAACCACTGTAAACCTTTTCATAAACATCCATCCAAGCTTCTCACTAGGGAAAGACATAGATATAACCTGTAATTTTAGTATTTATATTTTATTACATAAATTTCATACAAATGGAATCACACTATATGTGCTTTTTTGAAATCTGCTTTTTCATGCAAATTGTTGTGAAAATATTTCTAGTGGAAATGTAAAGGGGAGGGTCTTAGTGTCATTCACCAGTATGCCTACAATTCAATATATAGTATACACCTGAATATGTGGATAATGAAATGTATAAAATGCATCATCAATGAATTAACTGTTCTAAGCACTCAAATCTTGAGTGATAAAAAAATCAACTATATCATCACTTCAACAGGTAAATAATAGTCTAGTAAAGGTATGTATCACAGATAATTTAATCAATGCCTGCTACTGGGAACTTAAGCTATTCGATTTTTTTTTTATGATTATAAATGATGCTAGTTGATGACAGAACTCTCCAAGAAATCCAGTCATGAATCAGAGGAAAACTATAACATAGGCACCCAAAATTAATTAAATATTCCTATATAAACATTTGTATACATAAAATAATACACCAAATCATAAATGCAGAAACTTGGGCCAAAAATAGACCAAAAATATAAAAAGTAAAATGAGTTTACTGAACTTAAAAGAAGACTGAAGAAAAAAAGACAAAAATCTCTGAAAAATGAAGCTATAAGGTACCCAAGGGAGAAAAAATTTGATTGAATAGAGAGATCGGTAGGGGATTTATACACATATTATTTATATACACTTTCTGATCCATACACATGCATACACATGGTACATAATATGTATATGTATCATATATATGTATCAAAAAGTTTAAATATACACATATATACACACATATGATATGCATATAAATCTGCCCCCCCCCCCCCAAAAAAAAAACCACTTAGCAAAGACATAAGCCTACAGACTCAGGAATCTGAGCAATCCTCAAACAGAATAAGTACAAAGAAATCCACACGAGACATATCATAATCAAATTCTGAAAGCCAAAGACAAAGAAAAAATCTTGAAGGCAGTAAGTAAGAAACAATACCTTACCTATAGGGAAAGGACAGAAGAAAATAATAAATCTTGGAATATCAGGAAGGAAGAAAAATGGGAACAGCAGAAGTATGGGTTAATATAATAGCCTTTTCCTCCCTCCTTGAGTTTCCTAATTTATGTTTGATGGTTGAAGCAAAAATTATAAAATGTCAGAGTTTTCATTTTCTGTTTTATTCTTATGATGGCTTTATATGGATATCATCTGCCATTTTTTGCTCACTTTGAAATGCCTTATATTTTCCTCAACCATCAATAATACCGATGTGGTTCTCAGTATATGCTGAGGAAATATTTAAAATAACTATAAACAAGAGAGGGAAAAAGACTTAAAGTGGGGGGGGGTGGTTAGTTTCTAGACTCTAGTCAAACTGGGAAAATGTTAACACCAATAGACTGGGAAAAGTTATGTATCTATAATGTAGTATCTAAAGCAACCACTAAAATATCTAAACAAAGATACACCAAAATACAATTCTAAGAAATATACAAGTAATCCACAAGAATGCAAGACAAAGGAAACAGAAAAAAATGAAAAATAGAGGGAACAATCAAAACAAGAAATAAAATGGCAGGCATATTAAAAACCATAATAAAGACAAAGAGACTAAACACACCAAATAAAAGACAGAAATTGGCAGAATAGATTTAAAAAACACCACCGTGACCCAACTATATGCTGTTTATAGGAAACTTAATTGAAATATAATGATATAGAAAGTAAAGGAATGAAAAAAGATACACCATACAAACATCAGAACAGAGCAAGTTGGTTTTGCAGCTTTGGAGAAGTTTGGCAGTTTTTTGAGAACCTCCACAGTCCTCTACATTGTTTATGACACCACATATATGTATAAAACACGATCTTTAAAAAGAGCTGGAAGAATATATCCCAAGTTTAATGGTTGCTCTTTGGGATGGGGAGGGTTATGGAACTCAGAGCTGGGGTTAAGAGAGTTTGCTCTTTCTGCAGTATTTACTCTTTCTACAATATTTTAATGAGGGGAAAAAAAAATGAGGCAAAATGTTAGCAGTGTTTGTCATCATATTACTTTTGTATTTTTTGATACCTTCTAAATTTCTTTTAAAAAAATAGAATAGGTATAAGCTTGCAAGTAAATAAAATACATTAGTCATGAGCAGTTAGCCTTTTTCAATTCAAAGAAAGTAGATCAATATAAAGAGACAGATGAATGGGTGAATAAATGGACAGATTGACAGACAAATAGGCAGGCTGGGCAATTTATAATTCATATTTATAAATTTTGTGGTCAATGTATCAGTTTGTTATTGTAATATTGAAAATGCTTTCCCATGAGTACATAACATTTTTTTCATTCATTCATTTTTGTTTTCGTTCCTGATTTACTCAGTAAACACTGCTTAATAATTGAGCCTGTACTGGACACTGGTCTAAGCGCTATGATACACAGATGCACAAGACAAATACTATCCTTGGGAATCTCAGTCCAGTGAGAATGACAGATGCAAAAACTTATTCATGAGACAATATAAAGCATTCTCCAAGAGAGGTAGGAATGTTACTACAGTGGATGTGAACTGCTTGCGCGACCTAAGAGGGTCAAGAAAGCTTTCACATGGAAGAGGTGACATTTGAGATGTATTTTGAGAAATTCAAAACAAAGTCTGAAACCTCTGGCTAAAGGCTTAAAAGCCACTAAAATCTGTATTCTATAATGTCTCTGTATTTTCCCCAGCCTGAATTCTTCTGCAAATTCATACACACCACATACCTTTTAAAAGTCTGACTCAACTCAAAATGAGTCTTGTCTTACCTTTGCAAATTTCTCGTCTTCTGTGACTGCCAATTTTTTTTTCTTATTATATTCTTGTCTTCTCTCTAAAACACTCATAATTTTTTCATCAGTTAAGTTTTTCCTAAACTCGCAAAACTGAGGCCAAAATTTAAATAGAACCCCAAAAATTGTCATCTGTATAAAAAACAAAGTATGTCTCAGATTACAATTTTACACAAATGTACCAATTTAAACTCTAATTCACCATAATAATGGATTAACTATTCTATCTTTAATATACAGCGTGTTTCCTCCAACTTACTGTCTCCAGACATCTTGGCATAGTTTAGCTCAGCACATGCTTATCATCAATGTTTTTTACTACCAATGAGAAGTCTTTCTTTAAAAATAAAACCATATACTTAAAAGTTACTTTATTCTTTATGTTTCCCTAACCAATTGATTGTATTAATAAAGAATCCATTAGGTCTTTTTAAATAAGAAATTTATGTTTTCTTTTAAAACATACACTAGTTGATCTGCCACACACTCTGCTGTTTTATGCAAGTATTCCAAATATTCAGTCCATCAAGAGGAACGCCTCTGTGCCCCCTTTTTCTTTCTTTTAGAGAAAGGAAATACCTCTGGAAAAGCTCTTAAACAAAGCCGCAGATCTAAAAATAAATCTTGAGTAACTTTTAAATGATATAATCTCTTTTATGTGAGAGCAAGAAAAGTAACATTTAAAAAGCAGGGTGGTATCCCGGACAAAGGCTTTCTATGAGGACACTCCACATTAAGTGATTAATTGTGATATTTATAGAGATAAGAATTGTTGCTCAAAGTCCCATGCCAAGTATTTCCATTAGTTCCAGAGGCATATATTACTTCCAAGAAGGTAGGACCTGCCACATCAGATCCAGTCCAACATCTTGTTACTAGGAATGGCCTTCACCTAATGCCCTAGAGAAAACTGAACCATCCCATTAGGCTCCAAGCCAACTCTTCAGAGGAAAAGAGGAATTTATAAAAAGTAAGTGCTGCAGTGATCAATAGAGTCCTCAACTGGCTGGTATATTTCATTACTCCTCTTTTCTGTACATGAATATTATTAGTAATTCTAAAATTTTTTATTCCTTTTAAAATACAGTTTTATCATTTAATTCTGTAGCCTCTTGGCATTGTGATCACAAAAGCTAGAGATACCTTCTTTGATGAAATGTAGGCTTTAAACCAAATTTCATTTACATTTACCTGCTATATCTTTATTTAAGTAATCCCCTGATCTAATGTCAAGGGATCGTGGTAGTTTCTATATGAACTTCTTAAACAAATACTCCTCTTCCTTCTCTATTTACCAACTATTGACCCTACTTCTCAGTTATCTATCCAAAACCTGAGTCATTCCCTGCTCTCAAATACATTTATTTCCATCTAGAAAGTCTTCCAGCAAACGTCATTCAATTAGAACACAATTTTTCAATGGCAGACATAAAACGACTCTACTCCTAAAAGCTGCAATTAAGATTTTAAGTTAATAACATATGTGTTAGTCACAAAAATTACTCTGTACCACGAGAACCTCAAAAGATAATCAAACTGTAGGTAGGAAAATGTTGTAATAAATATAGAGCTACTTTGCTCACTGGCAGTAGATGGGCAATGACTTTAGTATGAGTTAAAAGGGCCAGTGAAAATTTGGTTGAGTGAAGAAAACTTCAAAGTTATTAGGGGTGCCGGTGGGGGATAGGAAAAGGTCACACTGCTAACAATATTAGAACAGGCAATAGGCTTTTTTATCTACTATGCAGCCCTTTCACTTAACTTTGCTCTCATTTCCAATTTGATTTTACTCCTTTCTGTCACAATAGATCACTTCTCATGTCAATCATCCATGAGTTCAAGTATGTTATCGAGCGCCTATTCTGTGCTAGGCATTTGGGCCACAAGGATAAATAAGAAACGTGCCTTGCCCTCAAACACCTTACAATCAGATGGGAAAGTCAGCATAAAAATAGTCATTTTCAGTTTTGTGCGATAAACAGAAACATATGCAGGATGTTACAGAAGCACAAGGGAGAGAAGATGATAACACAAAAAACTCAGGAGGGAAGAGAATAAGGCTCCTTTGTAGAACCAGAGATATTTCAGCAAGACTGGTGGGTGAGGGCAGGGAGTGGTAAGAGATGTGCAACCAGACCTCTGGTTTGCACACCTGGGTAGAAGGTGATGCTATTCCCTGAGCTTCCTTAGGAAATGCAGGAGGAATAATCAGTTTGGTGGGGTGAGGACTCTATAGAAAGATTCTCTTATTTTCTGATGCTCTAAAGTCCACATTTAAATTATGTCTAGGACTCTATTTTAGGAAATCAAGTAGAATGCATAAACTAGAGGGCTCCAGTACAGTTTGCTGGCTTCAATCCCTAGACAATATGGCAAAACCAACCAATATAAGCAGTTCCAGACATGCACTTGCAAACTCAAGGTCTTTGATGCAGATGGGCAAGCCCTGGCCTGGTTATCCAGAGACCTAGGCTAGGCTAAGTGATCTCTAAGATCTTTTCACAAACATAATACGATTCTGGCACCATGTTTTCTCTATTTCTCTTTAGCACTTCCTCAATCATTCATCTGTATTTTCACCTATTTTAATGCATAATTTGGATTATGAGTCCATTTCAGTTCCTCAGAGGACTTAGAACACAGCTGGCTCACAAATGAATGTTAAGGAATAATGGCCTTTTTTCCATGCTCAAGGGCAATCGTATCCTAAATCTCTGGTTCATATCACTTAAATCATGACATGGCCTTCCCTATTACCCCTATTATAATTTATTTTTCTTAATCATTTTTCAAGAACAACATCACTAAAAGGCTTTTAAAAATGCAAATAAATTATGTCCACCAAATCACTGTTTTCTATTATTTATCTTAAAAAGAAGTAACTTGAGCAGGTTAACAGGCATGATTTTCTTTTCATGAGCTTGTGTACTTTGTGTTGGTTAGGTACTTAAATCTCCTCTCACTTATTTTATGAGCTATGTGAATATTCCAATCTTTAAAAATACACAAATCTTGGGACACACATATTTTACACATATTTGTGGTAGCAGATTTTCTAAAGGAAACATGAATGGTGGGAAAGGAAGGAGGAATTGGCTGGAGTTTTATAAGCTAAAAACAAAAATGATAATCATAGAAAGTCAAGGATAGTATTTAAATAATTATATTTGCTGTGTATTATCAACAAAATAGTAAGTTATTAGTTTCTTATGTTCTGTGGAATATGCAAATATTTTTTCATTAAATAGAAGTAATCTCAGTTAAGGAAGGAAGGTTGTAACCCTGTCAAATATGAATAATGCAAAATCTTTAAAAGAATATCTAGATTGTTAATGTATTTTAAAATACGCTTAACTGATACTGCACGCCCTGATCTCTTACCTGTGCCTCTCTAAATACATAGGGTCCTAACTCCTTCCTGTGTTCAATAATCTTCTGGGCTTGCTCTATTGGAATGTCAATTTGTAAAGCTGGTGGAATACTAGAATTAATAAAGCAGTTGATAATAGTCATGATCTTCTTGTGAATGATGGACTCATCACAATGAGAATGGCACAAGTCCTGAACAGGAGGAAAGAGAGAACAATATATGATTAACACATTCCTAGAACACTTCGTAGAATTGTGGCAATACATCTTCCAGTAATACATAGATTTTAACTTCAGATCAAGAGGACATGAGGACATGTGAAAGCTATCTTTCTATAAAATGGTATCTTCTATTTCTCTTGGGTTTGAGGAACCTAAGACGTTGATGCATACATCGTACATAAATACAAGTTTCATTTACCCTTGAGTGCTTCTACTCCTAGGTAAAGGAACAGCTTCAAAGTCTACTTTGACTCATTTAGCAAATTTATATTGGGTGCCTACTATATACCAGCTGAGCCCCAAGATAGTATCTGCCTTTAAAGACTCAATCTTACTGGAGGAGAAGAAAGAGAACACATTACTTCAATATGAGTTAGCTAATAAGTACTACAGTAGAGGTGTACACAGGATCCTAGGAGAACACTGAAAACGGGTACCTAACTCAATCTGCAGGTAGATGTAAACGCTTTCCCAACCAAAACTGCTTCAACACCAAGGTGACTTAGGCTCGAAAGGGCAATATAATTGCAAATGGCATATTGGATTAAGGGTTAGTATCCAAAATCTATAAAAAATGTATCAAACTCAACACCCAAGAAAACAAATAATCCAGTGAAGAAATGAAAAACATGAACGGACACTTTTCCAAAAAAGACCTCCAGATGGCTTATAGACACATGAAAAGATGCTCAACATCACTCATCGTCAGGGAACTACAAATCAAAACCACAATGAGATACCACCTCATGCCTGTCAGGATGGCTAAAGTTAACAACTTAGGAAACAACTTGTAGAAGTTGGCAAGGATGTGGAGAAAGGGGAACCCTTTTGCACTGCTGGTGGGAATGCAAAGTGGTGCAATCACTCTGGAAAACAGTATGGAGGTTCCTCAAAAAATTAAAAATAGAAACTACCCTATGATCCAGCAATGGCACTACTAGGTCCTTATCCAAAGGATACAAAAATGCTGATTTAAAGGGGCACATGCACCCCGATGCTTATAGCAGTGCTATCATCAGTAGCCAAACTGTCTGTCAACTAATGAATGGATAAAGAAGATATTATACACACACACACACACACACACACACACACACACTGGAATACTACTTGGCAATCAAAAGAATGAAATCTTGCCATTTGCCACAACGTGGATAGAACTAGAGTGTATTATGCTAAGCTAAATAAGTCAGAAAAAGACAAATACCATATGATTTCACTCATATGTGGAATGTAAGAAACACAACAGATGAACATTGGGGAAGGGAAGGAAAAATAAGATAAAAACAGAGAGGGAGGCAAACCATTAAGAGACTCTTAAATACAAAGGACAAATTGAAGGTTGCTGGAGGGGTGTGGGGTAGGGGGATGGGCTAAGTGGGTGATGGGTATTAAGGAGGGCATTTGCTGGGATGAGCACTGGGTGTTACATGTAAGTAATGAATCACTAAATTCTATTCCCAAAATCATTATTACACTATATGTTAACTAACTTGAATTTAAATAAAAATAAATATAATTAATTAATTAAAATAAATTAAAACAAATTTTAAAGCAAAAAGGGCAATATAAGCAGGATGTTGGCAGTGACAGGTGCGCCATTATGTATCTTTTAGTATTTATACTTTTATAGTTAACCTATTAAATTATCTTCCTTATACCCAAAGAACTCAAAAATAGGGACCATACATTTAAAAGGCCCAGTTTTATGTGACAAATGCAGGGCTATCATTTTTTAAAATAAAGAGGTAGCTTAGCTTGAGTTTATGGCATTTCTCTGTCAAAGACATTGTTCTCCAAATCACAAGAAAGCAAACAAATTTGGAAACTTGTAATTCTAGGCCAGAAATGAGCTAACACTTAAGTACTCACTGTATGATGGGCATTGTAATCACTATCTTATGGGCACTATTAAAGAAAGAAGAATTTAAGTGCTGGCCATATAAAATCCTACATAAGTTATATGTGGAAAAAGCTTGATATAAATGTTACATTAAGACAACAGTTGGGGCGCCTGGGTGGCGCAGTCGGTTAAGCGTCCGACTTCAGCCAGGTCACGATCTCGCGGTCCGTGAGTTCGAGCCCCGTGTCAGGCTCTGGGCTGATGGCTCGGAGCCTGGAGCCTGTTTCCAATTCTGTGTCTCCCTCTCTCTCTGCCCCTCCCCCGCTCATGCTCTGTCTCTCTCTGTCCCAAAAATAAATAAAAACGTTGAAAAAAAATTTAAAAGAAAAAAAAAGACAACAGTTAGCATTTTTAACTCAATTTAGAACCCCCCCTCAGAAAATGCCTATTTATACAACGTATGTTAGATGTGTTACCAAATGTGTATTTTTTCCCATTACTAGTGAGATTGTCATATATAATTATTTGGTAAGCCTCATTTATAAGTATGGAATATAAGTCTTGTGAAATAACAAGTTTTTGGAGTTTTCATTTTGAGGGTGAAGGGACAAAAATCAGAATTGATTTTCTTTTCTAATTATTCTGCCCTACTATGCCATTAGCTCAGTTAACGTTACCTATCATTAAGGTCCCAGTTTATTTTTTTAAATGTTTATTTATTTTTGAGAGAGAGAAAGCAGGGGAGGGGCAGAGAGAAAGGGGGAGAGAGGATCCAAAGCGGGCTGTGCACTAACAGCAGCATAAGGGCTCAGTTTAAACAGAGTTTCCTCTAGAAGGCTTTTGGGGACTCCCTCAGTTCAGGAGAGATGTCTATCTTAGGTACTGCCATTACCCCCTGAGCTTCCATCACCACTGCCCTAGTCACAGTCTTACAACTGCCTTGTCTATCGCTCATCTGTCCCTCCCATGACAGTGTAAGCTCTAAGAGGGAAGACTATTTTGATGATGGTTGCATCCTCAGGATTTTTCATGGCCCTTGGCAGATGTTCAAAAAGTATTTGCTGGATGAATATACTCTTCCAGTTTTTTTCTATGGACACACACATACACATACACACACACACATACATGTACACACACACTTTAAAGTATGGTGTTTTATAGTAACTAGGTTTTTAAAAAAATATATCCTTTCCCATCATTGATTATTCTCCTACAGCATGATTTTTAATGGCTGCAGAGTATCTAGGTTCTTCTCAAATATTCACAATTCAGAACAGTGTTTAAGAACACTGATTAATCATTGTTCTGAATTGCAAAAATATGGAAAGAACCCAGATCTTTATCTCTTAGCATATTACCACAATCTTTGCTGGGGGCAGGGAACATAACTTAGTGGTTAAGGGCATAAACTTTAGCAATAGAATGCCTTTGTTCAAACTCAAGCTCTACCACTTAATTAGCTGCGTGATGTCAGGAGTTTCTTAACCCTTCTGTGCCTCAGCTTCTTCATCTATTAAATGGCAAGAATAACAGTTTTGACCTACTAGGATTCTTATAAAGAATAAATTAGTTGTTACATGAAAAGAATTAAGATAACATGTGCCAGATAGCAAGCACTTAATAAGAGTAAGCTATATAAAAGTGAGTTCAGTAAGATTTTGCCAGGTGTAAAGCTTTCCACCTAGCAAATTCTCTCAAGACCCAATTCAAATATTATCGCTTCTGCTAAGATTTGCTTGACCTACTACGCTCCCTGCATCATTCCCTCTCGGCGCCAAAACTATACCTAGTTAGAACATGGATCATAATCAATACTCTTTCATGTTATTTGTTTTCATGGATGTCCCCCTCCTTGAGGGAAAGCAATGTATTGTATTTACTTTTTATTCCTACTATTTAGCTTAATGGCTGGCATACTAGGTACTTAATAAATGCTTACTGAATGAACAAATTCCCTCCTATAGCATGATTTTTAATAGCTACCTAGAACTGTATGTCCTCCATTCTATACCACAAAAAAAGATATTTAAATGAAGACCAAGGACAGCTTTGAAGAAGAAGCGGTCACACAACTAAGGGTTGACTTTCTATGAGTGTGGTTTCTTAAAATGCCGTTCTTGCAAAGTTTATTGTATTACCTCTGTCCTAGCAGGGTTGGGCTTATTCATATTCTTATTAGCTTAAAAATAATTCTGCCCAGGGGCGCCTGGGTGGCGCAGTCGGTTAAGCGTCCGACTTCAGCCAGGTCACGATCTCGCGGTCCGTGAGTTCGAGCCCCGCGTCGGGCTCTGGGCTGATGGCTCAGAGCCTGGAGCCTGTTTCCGATTCTGTGTCTCCCTCTCTCTCTGCCCCTCCCCTGTTCATGCTCTGTCTCTCTCTGTCCCAAAAATAAATAAACGTTGAAAAAAAAAATAAAAATAATAATAATAATAATAATTCTGCCCACTCACAACAGCTGCCTTTTCTGGAAAACAGGCTCTACCTCTTAATTAAAAAAAATTATTTTAATATTGCTTATCTTGTGACAGACTTTGAAAAAACTTATCTCAAAATATTTTTTTCTGAGAAAATTTCTAAGGTGAGAAGAGTACAAAAACTGTTCATAACAGAAAAGGGTAGAAAAGAGTTTCACGGCATGTTGGAGAAAGTTTGGAGATAGACTTTATTGAGAAATTGCTAACTATATAGAATATAAATGCTGCAGAATATTTTTATTACATAATTCATACTTAGATTATAAGACCAACTGAAAGTATTATCCTCTTGAATTCCAGTTTTATTTTTATTCTCTACTTTTATAATGGGATAAAATAGGCTACTTGCCCAGAAATGAATCTGTTACCCAGGGGAGCATTTAGGCAGAGTCTGGATGCCTCCTCTTAAGTATTTCTAAACAACATTCCTATATTCAATTCTAGATTAAATACCTAGAAAGTCCTTTCCTTTCTTTAATGCAAAGATTCAATATGATTTCAAAGAACACTTAAACCTAAAAAACAAGTGCCTAACCACTTGTTCTTTGACTTATTTGTTTTTGTTTTGTTTAGAATGTGGCCATTCTTTCTTATTTATTTTTATTTTTTATTCTTTGAGAGAGAGAGAGAGTGCACACACATAAGCAGGGAAGAGGTAGAAGAAGAGGAAGGGAGAGAACACTAAGTAGGCTCCAAGTCCAGCGTGGAGCCTGATGTAGGGCTCAATTCCATGACCATGAGATCATGACCTGAGCAAAAATCAAGATTCTGACACTCAACCAACTGAGCCGTCCAAGCGTTCTGTGGCCATTCTTGCTAATAGAAAAGCTCCTCTCATCTCTGTTGGTTTATTTATCAATAATCCGCTATCTTTGATTACCATTGCTGGAAATACGGTTGGGAGAAATTCTGGGAAAGAGGTCTTGGTTCAAGTACTGAATATGGATATCTTCAGGAAAAAATGTCTATAGTACATTTATAGAGAAATGCTATGCAAAAATGTAATTAAAACTCTTTTGAGAAAGGTTCTCATTAAGTCATAATATCTGTGAATACCTTGAAAAATCTAATTCTATCATTTCAGGGCTCATGCTTACTCTTCACCGTTTAATAATAAATGTATCTAACATAGAACAATAAATACCTCAACATTTACATATTGGTATGAAGATGACAAAATTGGAATATCTTAATACAAATCTTGTCCATATAGTTACAATTAAGAATCTGGTGTGTTAGTGCATTTCCTCCACAAAAAGAGGTGGTTTTCTCCAGCTTCCAATATAATACCTTATATTTTTGTACTTCTTGCCAAAAGAGTACCCCGTTTTCCAATAAATCTCCTTTTAGAGCCACAAACCGTTGAAACTGTCTTGCAGTAACTGGATTCAATAATGCTTTACGAAAAGCCAGGATTTCACAAGATGAAGATATCCATTTACTCTCCACAGGCTGTCCATAACAGAAAATACAGAAAATTAGCTGTGTTCTAAAAAGCAATAATAAAGTCATTTATTAGGCTAAACATTACCACATTCAACCTCCTTTACTTTGGGTTGTTGAAATTTATGGCAAGGATACAATAGAATTTGGCACCCTTTACCCCTCTGTTCTCCCTTTTCTCTCCTTTATATTCTTATGGCGTCAGGTTTTTAGAGGTGGAGAGAAAAATAAATGATTGGATGATTCAGAACATATAACTACATTGATTAAGGATGTCATTACATTTTGCGACTAAGGTGAAGAACTACACTTTAGTGCACTGTGTGAGTTCTGCACTTAAACAGAAAAATATAATCATAATGTTATGATATATATTGTTACATTATTATTATGTATTTTGTAATTACATATGTATATCAGATATATAGTACATAATGTACCATATATGTAATATATATGTTACGTATTAATATATAACTCTCCTCCCTTTTAAGGAGTAAGAGCACTTGAACATTTAAGATATTTTTTCACATCTTTAAAAAAAATTACCAAATCTTGTTAATTTAAGCAGGAAATTAGTTGTGGAGCTTCTATTTAGAAAAAAATAATGTTTTCAGGTGACACATCTTTGTATTATTTTAATAAAATTGTTATTAATACTTCATAATAGAAGAAATCATCATTAATACATTATTTTTAATAATAAACTTCCTCTGAGGATTTACTTTACAAAACAAAAAAGCCAGAAGGACCCATAGTGTTTTAGTAATGCTTAAAGGTAATACTTAGTTTATATCTTCACAATTTTGAAATACAAGATGTCTACTTTTAAAATTTTGACCATTTTAGATCACATATCCATTCCTCTTTAGCCTCTCAGATTAAAAAACATAAGACATAGATTTTACTGAATTTACTGAATAGTAATTATTTTACTGGATAAGTTTTATTAACATTCCCTATATCTGAGTTTAGCCTACAACCATCCAAAGAAGCATCATCCCAACAATGTTTTAAATGAATTTAGGAATTATAGTAACAATCAGTCAAAGCACCATAATAAATATCCATTATTGGTTAGGCATAAAATAAGTTTCTTGAAACAAATCATATGTGACCATCAATGTGTTTAAGAGAGTTATGTAAAAGGCACTATGGGAACACAAAAGGAGTAACTAATTCTGCCTGGAGTAGCAAAAGCTTTGCAGAAGGGTCTTGAGGATGACAATCTGAATTGGAAACTGAAAAGTAAAGGCAACACCAGGCAGTCTAGAATGGCAGTGCCTTAACCCAGATAGAGCGATTAGATGTCTAACACTGTTTTAGTGAGGCACATGTCATGTTCTCTGGTCAAAAAGTTAAGACCCTCAGCATATGTTCCGTATTAAAATTACAGCCCTATAAATAGGAACAATTATGTATTAGACTGGGATGTTTATTTAAAACCCACTCAGCAAATAACGTTTTAAGACCTGCTTCTTAAGATACTAAAACTTAAGTAATTTAACTAAAACCTGTAATTTAACTAAGCAGAAAATAACAAAATATATAATGCACAATATGAAATATAAGCCCATTCTACTCAGTATTTCAATAAAAAAAATATAGCAAAAGACAAACATAAGAATGGTTTATTTCCTTTTAAGAGGAAAATACAGAAAAAGAGCATCCTAACAGATATGTATAATCCTCTAATAGTCAAATAAAATTTTATGTTAGTTAGTTTGTAGGGGGTCACCTGGGTCTAGTCCCACATTCCAGCAAGATCTGAGGAAGAATGAGTACACATAAATTCGTAAGCTCAAAAAGAAGACTGTTTATCATGCTTGTTGAAAGACAAAATAGGCACTTTCTAATAAGGTATCATAGCATAGTCGTTTAAATAATCACCAAAATGACAGTTATCTTAATTCTTTTAAAGCCAAACTGTAATTTCCAACAAAGAGCATAAGATAATTTAACTTAGTAATTCTGCTGCACACATCACCTCATTCTTTTTGTGTAATCCAGTCTCAGTAATAAATAAACTATCATAGGCTGGAACGAACAGCTTGTCTCAATAAATCCATCACAAGCAAGATAAACAAAAATACACATTTACCATCCAATATTTAAAGCACGCTTCTAGGGTTTAGCAGTTCAAGAGGGCTTTAAGAAGGCAGCGCTGGTAGAATCACACTTTCCCCCAGAATCCATCAGCCAATTAAATGTGTCAGTGGTCAGTTGGTGGCTTAGAAAGCAGGGTCTATGATGAGGGTCTCTTTTAATACGTGTGTGTGTGGGGGGGGGGGGGTAGAAATAATTCTTTGACAGAGCAGAAGTTGCAAGAGGAAGAATATAACACACACTACTTGCCTTCCAGACCCCGATCTTCCTTTCATGCTTCTGTAGTAAGAGCTCCTCAGCTACATCCCTCATCTGTACCTAGAAGCAAAACCATTTATTTTTTCCCACTTATCCAGAGTGCCTACATTTTTGTCATCATTTACTAAGTTAATAACTTTTAAAAATGAGGTAAAGGTCAGCAGGGATAAGAGATAGTGCAGTTTAGGAGAAAGAGGATCTGATTTAGCAATGGAAGCCCTTCCTAAGTGCCTGGGCAAGTCATTCAAATTCTCTGAACAGTTTCCCAACTGCAAAGTGAAGATAATAATACCTTAGTGTACTGCCCCAAATGCAAATAGAAGTTTCACTTTGGGTTACATGGAAATTGAAGCTGGAGAGATAATGAGGACTTCTCAGATTTTGGTGCTATTTTTCTAGCCACAACTAATTTTAGAACACAAAAGTTATTCAAGACACAGAGGAAATATAGTAGATATTTCTTGAGGTTATTGCCTGTTCACAATATTTTCCCCTGGGAACCACTCCCACCAAATCTGTGCTATGTGAATCTACCTCCCTGTCCACAGCAGATAGATCCAGGCACTGACCTAGAGAGACCAGGTCTTGGATCATGACTACTGAGTCTTTTTTATAGCCACAGCTGTCCGGGAACTTTCGCTGGGTTTCCAGGGCTGTCCTGGCCCCTGGCCTTTCTAGAGTTTGGGTGCCAACTCTTCCCCTCAGTGTGTGAGATGTTCCAGCACTATTTTATAATAAATTTTCTCCCTTCTCTTTTGTCTTTGGCGTAAGGTTGCCGGAATCAGTTTATGTTGCTGGCCACCCAAAGAATGCTAAGTCAGGAAATGGCTACAAGTTACAATAAAGTTATTATGGCAAACATAGAAAATGTGGTAAATAATACTAGTGAGCCAGAGCAAGAAGGAAAGAAATGAAGAAATTTGAGTTGTCCCAAAGCTTATTTCCAGGAACTTTTTGCCTAAAACACGACAGCTCTTCTTCATACTATAAATTCTATATTCCCAGCTGTATTGCGTTTTCCATAACTTAAGGTGCTCAGAAGAGTGGGGGTATTTCCCGATAAGTAAGGCTCAAAGTGTTTGAAAAAACTGAATATAGAAGGCATTTTTTTAATGTTTACTTATTTATTTTGAAGGCGGGGGAGACAGATGAGAGAAAGAGAGGTGGAGAGAGAGAATCACAAGCAGTCTCCATGTTCACAATGGAGCCCCACATGGGGCTGGATCCCACGACCACAAGATCATGACCTGAGCTGACACCAAGAGTCGAATGCTCAACCGACTGAGCCACCCAGGCATCGCAAGGGCAGTTTTTTAAGATTCCTCCTGATCAATACTAATGGTATGCACTTTGCATACTATAGTCCAAAATTATATGTTCTGCCCCTGTGTTAATTTATAAAGATCGGGTTTGCCTGTTTTAGGTGTGATGACAATTTAAATAATCAAAGTAACATGTGCCTTTATAAAGTAAAAATAAAGCAAAAACAAAACATCCCACTTTACAAAGTAAGAAGTAAAAATCTTCTTCCTCCCCAAACCCATTCCCAGAAGTCAGATCCTTTTAGATCTTTTTTCATAAACACAAATATAGGTAGATAGGTAGGTAGATAGATAGATAAATAAAAAGAAAGAAAAGGGAATACATAAATAGACAGACACAGAGATATAAGTACATGTAATGGATCATCTTCTATGTACTGTTTTGCATCTTATTTCACTCAGTAAATAACGTCTATCATATAAGTACATGTGTAAATCTCATTTTTATACTCCCATTTTTTATAGAAATCTGCATAGTACAGAATTACCATAATTTATTTATTTATTTCCCCCTTGTATATCCTTGCCCATTTATATGAGGACTTAATAATGATAATATAAAATAACTATATTAATAAGTAATATCTGAGTGTTTGCTGTGTGCCAGGTACCATGCTAAGAAACTAAACATAATTATTTCATCTTCACAACTATCTCATGAAGCAATTACTCTTATTAACCCTAATTATCTTTCACATGAGAAAACTAAGATTATAAAACTTAAAGTTGTAGGGGCGCCTGGCTGACCTAGTCAGTACAGCATGGATGGGACTCTTGATCTGATGGTCGTGAGTTCGAGCCCCACCCTGGGTGTAGAGATTACTTAAAATTAGAATAGGAGAGAATAGAATAGGAGAGAATAGAATAGGAGAGAATAGAATAGAATAGAATAGAATAGAATAGAATAGAATAGAATAGAATAGAATAGAATAGAATAGAAAAAACATACTTTAAAAAGCAAACCTTAAAGTTGTACAATGAACATGTCATAGGGTTGAGGCGAAAACTTAGAAAGGCCGACTCTATGCTCTTAGCCACTAAGCCATTGAAGTACAATGGCTGGGTTGACAGGTATACACATTTGCTATTTTTAGAGGTACTGTTAACTACTACCCAAAGATTACACTCACTGATATACCTTTATCTTCTGACGTGCTGCAAACTGTTCACTTGCAAGAAATAATGGCAACCACACATTTTCTAGCTTATTTAGGACATGCTTCTGAATTTCAATTAAAACAGGTGCATCGAGCTGCTCATGGAGCATCTTTCCCCAGCCACCACTTAAATTCATTATCTAGGAAGATAAAAATGAAACAGAAACTGCAAACTTCTGTTTTAGTGAAGACATACTAATAGTCATTAATTTATCCATCCACCCCCAAACCAGCTGCCGAGCAGCCGACAGCACCATTTTCATTTTCCGTAAGTTATCTCCTGGCTATACCAGGTACAGTAAAGACTGACAACTCCCCTAACATCAAACAGAAAATTGTGGTTTGTGTGACAGTTCTTTTAGATGTCTGATTTTGTTCACAATATATTTCAGAGACACAGGAGTGGGATTTTTATCCTGTATGACCACAAGCAATGCCACGTTTTCTCCATGGCCTCAGTATTTTCAAAGGTGAAATGAGAGTATTTATTAGTCAATGAGTTTTATAAGTGCTCTTCCAGGTCTAATAATCTATGAATCTGTAAATCTTGTCAAATTGACTAATTTGAGAAAACATTCTCTTTCGTGCATGAGGAAAATGGGGCATGAATTAGTTAGGAGACAACCTTGGCTCAGATATTATCAACATGTACAAACAAACGTTGGATTGGAGATGGTGGTGGTAGCAATGCAGGGCTGCCCCCAACAACTTCGAAGAGGAATACAGAGGCAGCAGGAAGGAGAGAAAGACCAGGTTATACAGACAACAGTCTCTGGCCTGCACAGGTAGCACCTATTACAAAACACAATTTCTTTGTGGCCCAAATCTTCCTTCTGCACAAGTATGGTTTCAACAAGCTACGAATGGCCATTTTCTGCTATAAATCATTCTTTTTTCTACCTGTTTCTGTGTACACAGCCCTCAAACCTTCTGGACTCCTCAATGGAAAAATTACCTTCTTCTTAGTTCCCTTTCGATTAATAAAACCCATCAAATCCTACTAATAAAAATAATTTTTAACATAAAAACGAAAGAGAAACCCTCTTGGACATCTTTTAGTAATAATGATTCCATATAAAAAAGGAAGAAAAGAGAAAAGACTACTTTGCTAATCAAAGAGCAAACTTGGCTGCCCAGCCGAAATTAGGACTGGCAAGACCTACGCAGAATGTAATGTGATGTGGATATCCTTAAGTAGAAAATAAGTAAATAAAAATAAAAGTAAAGCCAAAGATGAGGAAGAAAGGTCACTGGGGAAACTCTTCTGTAGTCAACACAGTCATTTGCTATGATGGCAATGGATAACTCCTCCACTGAATTTTAAATGCTCAGCATCTTATCCTAGGGAGGGTTCATACAGTAGCATCAGATACCACGAAACTTCACACAATGTAGCACAAGCCAAACAGAAAAGAAATGCCTCCACGTGTTTATTTCATACTTGTGCTTGAGATACCCAGCTACTTTTGCTAACATATCCCAGATTTGTATCTCAGGAAACTAATGGCAAGGCATTTTTGTCAAGGTTGATTAATTTCAGATTGCCTTCTCCCCTTATTCCCCCAAATGTTTGCTTATTTCCCCCCACCACCACCCCCCCGCCCCATAGGATATAGCTTTTTAATCTGGTATGCCCTACCATGAACACTTCTGAATTTTTCTGACATTTACTGAATTTAGCATTAATCTGAGATTTGTATTTCATAAATATACACCATTAGGATATGCATCCTTTTAAATTACCAAAATAAAGATATCAAATGCTATACATTTGATCTCTAGGTAGTAACGTAGTACCAAACTTCAAATTAATTGTAACACTTAATTCTTTACATTTCAAAAGCATAAAACTTGAGCCACATTTCATGGATACTCAGTGCCACTGCTGAATCCCAATCTGACATTTTACCATATAGTATGCTAATGACATGTAGCAAGGATTACAATAATAATATAGTAAATAATGACATCATACATCATAGGCACTCATATCTGAATGAACGGATGAGTGGATGAATAAGTTATTTTTATTCCATAATTAATTTTTAAAATAACACAGTTTTTACAGCATATAACGCTTGAGTGAATTTTAAAGGCATTTAATTTTTAGATAATTATAAATAACTGAAGAAGTAAGATATCCAAACTGTCTAACATATAAATCATAAAAGCAAAAGACAAAAACGATGAATTTTAGGTTGTTGGCAAAAAGAAATAAATCATTGGTTTTCACACTTCAACAAAGAAATATGTTTACATGTTGATACCTGGTCTTGCTGATACAGAGAAGCTGGACTTTGGGGGCCAAAGAAATATTTTTTATTAAGGTATTTGTCTTTAATATATATAGATTTTGCTTCCCTTTGCTTTCGGTCTCTGTAAATTATTCTTCGGAACTGCTCAATGTCTGTCCAGCACATAAGGTCCACACTACGATGAAAACAAAACCAAAGCACAGCCCTTCTTTTATTTTTCCTCTCAATTTTACTAACCACCAAACAAGTTTTTGTTTTGACAGAACTTAGAATGTGATTGTCTTGACTAGTTAGCAGAGCCAAGTAGATCATGAAACTAATGAGTTCAGTGTTATCATGTCTCATCCTAGCTAAATATATGAATGAACACAGGCGTACTGGGATCAGAAAATCATCTACCATCGTTATGGGTAGGGTCTCAGAGTTCCTCCATTACTGATGGACCAGTATTGTTGATATCTAACCTAAGAAAATCTCCACCCAATGTGCGTCTATTTGGCAACATGCTAAATTTAGAACAATTCTCATCACTAAGAAGGGAAACTATATATGTGAAATTTGGCTCCCAGGTGTAAACACTTTCTCTTAACTTGGGAGAAAATTACTGGAAAAATATATGATGAATATTTCAGTTTATAGTAGATAAATATGTCATAAGTTTCCAAGATTTTGTGCAAAACTACAATGTTTATGAATCAGCCAATAAAATTACAAAGTTTTACAGTAATTTCAGTAGCTTAGAAAAATATGAAAATATGAAAGAGACACTTTTTCAGAAATACTAGTTAAAGCACCTGTCTAGAAAAATGTAAAAGAAAGAAACAGTAGAAAAGTGACAGAATTAAACATAGTGGTGTCTTAATTTATCCAAAGTTAAAACTATTAACAAAATCTTAAAATAATATTTGGGAGGTTGCTATTATCAAAATGCACTCCCCAATAAAAAGTTACCAATACAGATTTCAGATAGGTATGCCATTACTACTGTCATGGATGAAATCTAGCACCAAATCACTTTTACATGTTGAATCAAAGTAAGTTGCTTAGAAAAACAGTGTTTTAAGAGAGAAATACATTTCTAAATGGTTATTTTCCTTACCTTGAAGAATGAGCCTCAAGAAACTGACGGAAATGTTCAAACTCCAGTTTGTTGTTAAGCAGATCATTAAAACTGAAGTGCCTATATTCTTCAGGAACATTATTCCAGTATTCTGTTTTTTTACACACATCAGGAAGCGGTGAAATACCCGTTCCAACTTCACAAGTAGTGTCCTAGTGAAATAACACTTTTCATTAAAAAATCTCCTAAATACAACAAATTATTTTCCAAATTTAAAAAGAGAAACAAATAAAAATGAACTATTAGGTCAACACCATCTAACAATTCAATAGTAAAACTAGATAAAGAATCTAGAATCTGGCTGTAACTCCCATCAAATTCTATCCTGTTCCTTTCTCTTCCATTCTCTTCTTTTCAGGAACATTTAGAAAACATTTACTATATATTTGCTTATAAAATGTTAATTTTTTATTTTTGTTGGTGTAAGAGTAATAAATCATTTGTAATAAGAAAACAAAAAGCATATATAATACTACCATTCAGAGATAACAATCGTTAACGTTTGTAAATACAAATCTTCTAGTTTATTAAAAATGAAGACAGGACTAAACAAGTATGTATAGTTTTGCAACTTGGTTTTTTTTCTTAACAATGCATTATGAACACAAAGTGTTCTTTTATTTATCTGAAGCAGGCTCCAGGCTCTGAGCTGTAAGCACAGAGCCTGACACAGGGATTGAACCAACGAAGTGCAGAATCATGACCTGGGCTGAAGTCAGACGTTTAACCGACTGAGCCACCCAGGTGCCCCAATAGTATGTTCTTTAAATGTAACCTTTTCATATAAAAGTTAATTATTAGGCATTTTTAAAACCTTATGTTTTGCAATTTATAAGCTCTATATAAGGGCAAAGAGCTAGAGAAGCTTATTCTTTCAAAAACCTTTCCTTGGGGCGCCTGGGTGGCGCAGTCGGTTAAGCGTCCGACTTCAGCCAGGTCACGATCTCGCGGTCCGTGAGTTCGAGCCCCGCGTCAGGCTCTGGGCTGATGGCTCAGAGCCTGGAGCCTGTTTCCGATGCTGTGTCTCCCTCTCTCTCTGCCCCTCCCCCGTTCATGCTCTGTTTCTCTCTGTCCCAAAAATAAATAAAAAACGTTGAAAAAAAAAATTAAAAAAAAAAAACAAAACCTTTCCTCTCCTTATATAATTCATTTACCCCTCTGTTTATTTTTGAAAAGCATCAGACCATTAGAGAAACTACCGATATTTAAAAAGTCAATTACCAATGAAGAGAAGGATTATGGGAAGTATTATACATTTTAGTTCATAAAGTTTAAAATGCAACTTAAATACAATGAAAATGCTACGTTTCAATTCACAAAGTTTAAAATACAAACTTAAAATACAACCTCATGAACTTTTTCATTCATAAACTTTAAAATAACAAAATGTGCTGTCTTTTTGGATTTTTACGTAGCCTCTCCAAGATATTAATTCATAGTTTCTCAAATAAAGAATTTATGTGTTAAAAAGGCAACTATCATAAAGGTTACATTTAAAAGTCCACTTTATTATTTGTGTAAAATTTTATTGTAAAGGAGTAAAAATTGCAGACAGGTACAAGGCAGAAAGTTAAAATATCACCTGAAACTTTACTGTTCAGAGCTAACCATCTGTAATATTTTGGTGATGTCTCAGATATTTCCAGATACCTCTCTTCGTATATATGTATACATGAGAAAATATATAATTTTACATAAATAGGATTATATGATACCAGTGGTTTTTTTCCTTATATTTTTATATAATAATGTGCCCTAGGCATTTTTCACATCAATAAATATAACTGTCACCTTTATGTAGATACGCACATTTAATTTTATGACTTTCAGGATCTGAAAGGATTATGTAGGTAATCCAAAAGTTGCAAATGTATAAATCAAAATAACACTTTAATATCCTAGTCAGTCTGATGATCTTTTTCCTGATGCCCCCAAATCCTTTCCATATTTTTTCCTTTATTATTTTGCCTATTGCTGTCACACAAAAGTTCCTTTTCTGTTTAGAAAACTCAATTTAACTCTTTTTTTGAATTGACAAATAGAGCTGCTGCTATACAGAAAGCAATCAGAGATGTTCAAAGGAATAATGTGGTTTGAAGGCTCTTAACTAAGGCAGGCATCTGCTTTGTCTTTTGGCTTTGTTGTTAAATGTGTCAGTAAAAAGTGACACCTGTCAAATGCAGCATGCTAGGCCAAGAAGTAGCAGAAAAATGGAACTGCCTATCCCTTACTTGATCAGTACATGATCTCCTCAATATATTATCCCCCTCCCCCTGCCAATATACACAGTGGTAATCCTCTCCAGGATAAAAAGTTTGTTTTTTCTAAGTAGAGAGCTGTCTTACCTCAGCTTTCTTGGAAAATGTCTCTTTATGCAAAGCCTGTAGCTTTCTGAAGTATGTGGAGTCTAGCTGTCTAGTTTCTTCCACCAGCTCCACCTAATAAAACAATAATAAAGCTCATAACATCAAGAGAATGTGCATTATGAAAAAGTGCGGAAAGAATGCACAATTTGCCAGTAACAGCGGGCTAAAAAACGAAGACACTTGCCAATAAAGTAAATTAGTTTGGAGGCAAAAGCAGGAAAACCAACATAAAAATATTAGCTACAGCATATTCAGACTTCGCATGCATGCGATAAAATATTTCTATGTAATGATATAGTGACATCAGAGATCATTCCTCCTTTCTGGTCACCCTACGTGAACTAACAAACACTGCACACATTTTGGGTCACATTTCCATTTTCTATTCATTATAATAGGATAATAGTCATGAAAGCAGGCACTGCTAGTTTTAGAGACCAAATAATCCACAGTAGAACAAGAAATGACCAGACTCCATCATTATTCATCTGCAAGCTAAGGTTCTGTTAACTGTAGCAAAAGAGGAGGAGAGTCATTTATCAAATTAAACTCACAGTAGGTCTCATGCTGCAGTGTGTGCATTGCACTGTTTTATCGTCAGAAGAACAAGCTCATTCTCCATTTCTCTCTTCCAGGGCAAAAGCAGTTTGGCGGACTGAGAATTTTCTACATTTAATAGTTTTGGTAGCCTCTTTGATTATCCTTTTTGGGAAACAGCCTACACAATCCAGTCAGGTGGACTTTTACAAACGTTCTCTGGGCTGCATTTAAGGGCATTTGTAATTTCTTATTAAAAAGAGTGTATAGGGGTGCCTGGGTGGCTCAGTTGGTTAAGTGTCTGACTTCGGTTCAGGTCATGATCTCACGGTGTGTGTGGATTCATGCCCCACATGGGGCTCTGTGCTGACAGTGCAGAGCCTGCTTGGGATTCTCTCTCTCTCCCTCTCTACCCCTCCCTGACTCGTGCTTTCTCTCTCTCTCTCTCTCTCTAAATAAACTTAAAAAAACAAGTGTACGGTTTGTCCCACACATTTTGTAAGAATCATTACCAATGCCAAACCTTTTTGATTTAGCAAAGTTAGTTTTAATGCCAAATCTTTTTTTTTTTTAACATCTCAGGACTTATCTCAGGTCCATTTTCCTTTACACCATACACTGTATTTAAAATAATGACTGGAGGGGCACCTGGGTGGCACAGTCAGTTAAGTGTGTGACTTTTTTTTCTTTTCAAAAATGTTTTAAATTTTTTTAATGTTTATTTACTCTTGAAAGAGAGAGATAGAACGTGAGTGGGGGAGGGGCAGAGAGAGAGGGAGACAGAGAATCTGAAGCAGGCTCCAGGCTCTGAGCTGTCAGCACAGAGCTCAACGCAGGGCTCGAACTCACAATTTGTGAGATCATGACCTGAGTGAAGTTGGTTGCCCAACTGACTGAGCCTCCCAGGTGCCCCAAGTGTCTGACTCTTAATCTCAGCTCAGGTCATGATCTCGCAGTTTGTGAGTTTGAGCCCCACATCAGGCTCTGCACTGATGGTACGGAGCCTGCTTGGGATTCTGTCTCTCCTTCTCTCTGCCTCTACCTCGCTTGTATGCTCACTCTCTCGCTCTCTCTCTCTCTCTCCTCTCAAAATAAATAAACTTAAAAAAATTTTTTAAATAAAAATCACAGATCATTTTTTTTAATTTCATATGATACCCTAATTTTTCTAATATAACAGATGTATTTTGTAGTAGAAAAGATGTAACACTAAGTTTTCAGGGCAAAGAGAAATCAGGAATGAAAATTTAATTATTTTGGTCATTGAATTTAGTAAGCCATAGAACTGTTTAATCAAATCCAATAAGGTAATTCTATCTGAGGTGTTTGGGTATTAATTTTATCTTAATTTATCTAACCTATTCCTTCTGGTAGACGATATGACTAAAAAGTTGTTGAGACATGAACAAAGAATAGCAATATGAGGGTAGCAGAGTTCTACTGGAAATGACCTCATGTAGAGGGTACATGCACAACTTAATATAAAAGATACCCATGAATGGTTGTAATCTGTGATTTAAAATAAATATTTAAAGAAATGTCTTCCACCCATCAATAAGAATGGTGAAAATATTCAGGCACTGAGATTTAAAATGACCTCTGCTGGAATTGAAAAAGATGTGTTGACATTTTTATCTAATCAAGCAGTCTGACCTGATGAACATCTAGGGGTATCTTAAAATAGCAACACTGAAGTTAGAAAATGTGTTTTCCACAGTACATATGAAACATTTCTATTTTCCATGGGTGCAATATTTACTATAACTCATCCAGTATAAAATTAAAGGGTTTTTTTCCATTAATCAAAATTAAGGCCACTGCAGAGAAATGGCAAGAAAGGACAAAGCCAAAAATGTTATCATGGCATATTTTGTTGGTTCACAGGAAACCAAAACTCAGATTTCTCTCTGTTGACATATTTGTACGGAGAACTAAAAAATGACAAAGATTTTAGTCTTTCGTTAGGATACAATAGAGAAACTGGCAAAAAATAAAGTTAATAAATACTTTCCCGGCTCTAATATTGAGACTGCCAAATCTTAACTCTGAGTCCCTGGCCCATGTAAGATATTTTTCAGTTTTTCTCTTGTGAATTAATAATGCTGCTTATCATCAGTTTTGTAGTAAATGAACAGTTCACACACCGTTTCTTAGTGCCACAATACCTTTCTAAGAGCAACTTGGTCTAATTTTACCATCTGTGTCCAGGGCTCAAGAAGGAGGAGAAGGATATATTCTTCTGCTGTGTCAAAAAGGTCTTCAAATGGTGGCTGTATTCTCATATAAATTTCTTTTTTCTTTTCCTGTTGGAGTCCAATGTCAAGAGTGGCCGAAGGAGCAATGTATGTGGCAAAAAGATACTAAGGGAGAAGGGGGAGAAATGAGAGGTTGTTGGGAGAAACCATAATGGTTAGCAGGTTCCTCAGCAAAGGCATTTTAAAAAGGTAAGAGAAGAGATACAAGCTCAAGTGATTTTTTTTTCTTGAAAAGATGCATAAAACTACTTAAGTCAAAGCAATCTGTTTATTCAAAAGGCTTCTCTTTCCTTTTCCTATTTCTTCAATGGTAATTAATCAATTTGCCATGGATCTTACACAAGAGTATATCATTTGGATATTTAATATTTTTTATCAGATTCCTACTTTGTATTATTATGATTGATTACAGGTTATATTCTTCCTTTTTCCCTTATGTTCACAATATTTCTAACACATTAGGGCTACTTTCCAAAATGTTTTGGAATGCCCTTTTGGACACACGAGGCATGAAACAAGGACTGAAAAACTGGCTATTGGTCTTCTAGTATAAGGACCCAACAAACTACCTGCCCTACCCAACTGAGTTGCAGACTTCTTAAGACTGTTGCTAATTACCCCTTTCTGCTGTAAAAATATCTCCATTTGGTGCAGAATGCTGTGGAAGAGATACGAGAAGGAAGTAAGAGTGAATGGAAAGATACACATGAAATTTCTAGCTTCCTAGAAAAAGCATAAATGTCTATTCCATTCTACTCATTTGTCTTTTCTCTAAATAACAGCTATTTACATCTCAGAAGTAATTTATTAACATTTTATTTTTTTAAATGTTACATACTGAATATGTCATGCCCTGCATATCGGATTTAAATGCAGTTGTACTAACAATGTCAAATTAATTGCACTTAATTTAATTTTTTACTTAGTTTTTGGACCTGATAACGTCCAGACTCCACCCAGGCAGTAGATCAGATAGACAGACAGATTGATATATAGACAGAGATACAGAGAGAGTCATACCAAATACCAAATATAAATAGTCTTACGTAAAATAATCTTTTAAAAGTTTTAAAGGGTCCACATTAATAACAAGCATTTACTGAGTATCTACTAACATCTCAGACACTTGTATAGGTGCTATGTATGCAAAGATTAATGATTAAGACCCAATACCTGCTCTGAAGGAGCCCACTGGTGGTGACATGGAGATGAAAATCAGCAGATGAAATACAGTGTAAGTACTACCACAGAAGTACGCATTGCAAATAAGAACATCATTGACTGTCTGTCCATTTTTTTCAAACTCACATCCCATTAATCACCTTTTAAACATCATACTCAAATACTAATTCTTCTGTTATTTTCCTAAACCTTGTTGTTTTGCCATTCCACACCATTGCATGTATTGTTCCTCCAATCTTGGATAGTCACCTTACCGTGCGCACCTTGTCCACTTGATAAACCCTGACTTATTCTTTAAACACCAACATGTATTTTTCTTCCTCCAGGAAGCCTTCACTCACACCCTCCTCCCAAGATCATTTTCTACTGCTATACCTACCACACTATAATGCAGTTATGTATTATGTATCATCTCTTCTAGAACGAGGTCCTTGAGGGCAAATACCATAGCTTGTTCTTTTGTCATTCTCCAATTCCTAAAACTGTTCTTGGTAGAGAGTGGATGCCGTAAATGTTATTGAATTGCACTAAATCCATAGAAAAGACTCATTTATGTCTTGGAATGGGAAAGGAAAAGGTTTAGAAACCTTTCCAAGAAAAGATAAGCTTGTCTTATCCTTAATCCTTCAGCTGAATCTTTAAAGATGAGTTGGAGTCAATCAGGCAAGAAAAGGGAATTGATGAGAAAGATGATTTAAGAAGAAGGAAAATCTGGGCCAAGGCATTAAGGCTTAGGGAGGTTTTATAACCTATGGAGAGATTCTAGACTCCAAGGAGATAACACGGGCTAATGGAAAGAGGTAGAATAAGAGGGGATACTATAAAATGAGGCAGGAGCCAGGGCATGGATATGACCTTTTGTCCCTTGGTAGGGAATTTGAATTTTACCTAAAGATATATAACGAGGGCTCTCTGAGGGGTGACATTATTGGATATGAATCTTAGAAATAAATCACTATGGCATCAGGAAAGAGAAACAGTTTGAACAGTTTGAACAAGATTTGAGGTAGTTTGGAAATTATTTCAATAGCCAGATAAGAAATTATATGCCACCTTCATCTCTTGCCTGCTTTTTGCAATAGCCTCTTAACTGGTCTTCAAAGGTTCCTCTTTGCTTTCTTAGTGTTTTCTTATGACAGCAAATAGAGAGGTCCTTTTGCCTATCACTCTTCTCAACTCTTCAGTGACTTCTCATCTCACACAGACTAACAGTCAAAGTCTTTATAACTACCTATAGCTGGAGTTTTTGAAAATTTCTCATTACTGAGGGAACAAGTATTATAGTTCAGGACCTGCCAGTGGGGAAGCCCGTGTAAATATCCTACGGTCGCAAAACACCCTAAGAGCAGGACTAGACCAGGTATAGACTCTAGCCTTGAGTCTTTAAAGTGTTGAGCAAAAATAACTGCTAATCTGTAATTTTGTACCCAGCAAAAATACCTGATAAAATGAAAACAAAGATGTCACAAACCAATAAACAGAAGCAGACAATCCATCACCAGCAGAACTGTACTATGCACATAAAATAAACAAAGGTAAGAGCAGGATGGAATAGAGAACAATAGAATTGCATAAATATGTAAGTAAATATCAATAAATGTTGACTGTAAAACATAATAACAATTAATAAAATCAGAGGAAATAGTAAAAGGGCCTAAGAAAGAAAGGTCGGAATTGAGCGGGCAGGTTGAGGTACAACTGAAATGATCCACCATAAAGCCTACTACAAGATAGTAATGTAATATTCAGGGTGGAGTCTCAAAGAACTAGAATAAATGTGGTGCCTGACTGGCTCAGGGTCATGAGTTCAAGCCCCTCTCTGGGTGTAGAGCTTACTAAAAAGAGTGAAGCTAAGGGAGAAGGACATGTAGAGAGCAGTTAAAAGGGAGTACTATAAAGATCAGTACATAACAAGGCACTCACTCAATAAATATTTGCTAAATGGATGAATGGAAGACTAGTATCCTCAAGTGAAATGATGACCTGAAAGGGGAATTTTCAGAGTTCAAAAATTTAAAGCACAAGTAGTTCTAAATTCTGATGAATTCCAACATAAGGCTAGCCCATAGTTAACTTAGGAGAAATGGAGATAGACACTGGAATTGGGTAAGTTATTGGGTAGCATATATGTTATTAGGGCTATCTGTGTGGATATTGAGAAAGCTTCATATGATAAAAATGTACAGAGAAATTTCATGAGTCATGCACTGAAACTTTCTAAAAACATAAAGAGAACTTAAAAGATCTTTAGACAGCATTAATGAGGTTTAGGAGAGGGGAAGTTACTAGATGGAGCAGACTTTAAACTTTTTGAAGTATTAAAAGATGAGACTTGTGGGGCGCCTGGGTGGCTCAGTCAGTTGAGCGTCCAACTTCGGCTCAGGTCATGATCTCGCAGCTCGTGAGTCTGAGCCCCGCGTCGGGCTCTGTGCTGGCAGCTCAGAGCCCGGAGCCTGTTTCAGATTCTGTGTCCCCCTCTCTCTCTCTGCCCCTCCCCTGCTCATGCTCTGTCTCTCTCTGTCTCAAAAATAAATAAACGTTAAAATAAAAAAAATTTTTAAAAAAAGATAAGACTTAAACAGCAACAGGG